TCTTTTATATTTACATATGTTCTATCCCTATTATTGAGCACTTTAACTCATAAATATAGCATACCATATATATATATATATATATATATATATATATATATATATATATATATATATATATATATATATTGCCAAGTTTCTGAATTGCTTGTGCTGAGGAGTGATTCCCTTGTCACTAACACTATTTGTCTGTACCATGGGGGCTCTGGAGGGAAAGATTTTCAATTTTAGCCTTCCCAAATTGCTCAAAAAGCCCATTTCCAATAATATTTAAAAAAAAAAAACAAAAAAAACAGAAAAGAATCTTGCCAAATCCGAGAGACTTGATTGGGATATATCACACACACACAGAGGTTATTCCATCTTAAAACACCTTAATGCTCACAGGTAACCCTTTCAGAAAAATGTGGAAAAATTCACATGTGTTCCTTGATCAAATTTATGGATAAATCTCAAATATTGTAAACTTAAATTACTTCTGATACAACAATATATTATATGAGAGAGAGATATTAAAAAGAAATAAAAATATTTAATTATTTCTCATAAAGCTAGGAAAATTTTGTTAAGGGATTGATTAATTTAAAATCATATATATATATATATATATATATATATATATACACACACACACACACACACACACACAAATGTCATCTCTAGCAAAAAGTATCAAGCAAATTTATCCAATAAAGTTTTGAAAATCCATAAACATTTTCCTAATTATGGTTTGCCTTTTTGTCACTTAACTCTCAGCTTACAAGTAAAACATTAGGAGGGCGGGATTTGGGGGGGCTGTTGTCACCTAGACATTCCCCTAAAAAGAACAACAAATTCAGATAAATTCTTACTCTCCACTTGATTGATTCCCATAGAAAGCTGTATAACTTTCAAGTTACTTTTGTGTAATGAAGTCAAGCTTTCTACTGACCAACACTTGCCTCATTAGTTTAAAAAAAAAAAAAAAAAAAAAAAATAGGTCACCTTGTAACATTTTTCACAGAACCAAGACACACAAACATCACATTCACCTATTTTCTTAGCCCCATGAATTCACGAGACCCACCACTCAGCATGTGAACCTAAATACATGTGTCCCTATTTAGTTAATGTGTGCACAAGGAAATGATAAGCTGTAAACTAATTCTGCTTTACACAACACCACAGTGCCATTGGGTAGACAATGCCAAACAAAATTACAAAATAAATAAATAAAATATAACTTTAAAATTTTCAGTATTTGAAATATTAGAATTATAAATAAAAAGCTAACTTGGACCTTTGTGTCTGAAAAAAAAAAAAAAAAAAAAAAAAATCAGGATGTAAAAGGATCGTTTTTCCATTGACACTGCTATTATTTTAACTACTTTCCAAACTCGGAAATGTCTTTAAAAAGCAAAGATTAGAATTTAAATAAAACCTAAACATATGAAAGTGAATTTATTTTTTTTTTTTCTTGAGAATTTACAAAACTATTAAACACTATTTACAAGAATAATTTTATATTTACAACATATGAAAAACTAATCCAATGCAATATTTATCATTTACTAATTTATAAAGAAATAAATATGAAAACAATTTTTTTTTATTCATAAATTTATGAACATTTACTAAATTATTAAAATATGTAAACCAACTCTAAGAAAATCCTTATTTACCATTTTATAAAGTCTGAATCAATTTGCAATTAGCCAATGTTTTGCCAACCATTCCAATAAATTATATAAGTGTTTATTATTTTTGTTGCCAATTCTCACAAACAAAGAAAATGTATAAATTCACTTTCACATGTTTAGGTTTTATTACAATTCTAATCATTGTTTTTTAAAAGATTAAACATTGCCGAGGAGTGAAGACATTTGAAGTAATAACAGTTTCAATAGAAAAAAAAACTTACTTTTGACACTGTTCTTTGCAGGCACACAAATGTCCAAATTTGCCAATTTCTTTTTAATAATTTTTTATTTTTTTTATTTTTAGAGATTTTATTGAAAATAGGCTTGCCATTAACTCCCCACTCAAACCAGGATAGGTTTCAGTGTTTTATTTTTATTTTTTTTTAAACGTTCAGCATTCTTATATAATAAAGTGTTTTCATATCCTAACACACCTTAACTTTCTGGACTGGCACACACAAATGACAGCTTATAGCTCTAGTGGGACACTCACCAAAAAAAAAGGGAAGTCTTGTCAAAATCAAGCCTACTTGAAACCTGATTTCACATATACACACCTAAAGATGCTATAATGGTCATTACAAGTATTAAATCTCTGGCAGGTTACTTGTAATAAGGCCTAAACAGTGGAAGGACTCAAACACCCAATCACTTGAAAACTTAACAGCTTAGCAAAAGATAACAAATACTGAATATTACAGGAGCTTCACAAATTCACAGGAGTTTCTCAAGAGGGTTACTCATGAACTCAAAAACAACATTAGTTTTGATAAAGTCTTATAGTTAAAAACTAAAATAAATCATTTTGATTCTCCTTCTATATGCCATGTCCCTTCAAGACGTAGATGACCATGGCTCTCCACAACTTCCTGTCCTTTGTAGCTCTAAATAAACCGTCTTTTCAACATATCTCCCAAAACCTGCTCCACCATCCATTCCCTCAAGTCCGTCAGGTACGTTATGCGTTGTTTTCCTGTCTTGCTTGCCTCCTGTGAGTATCAAATTTCTCAAGCCCTCTTTCCTCTTTATGCACTCTAGAAATTTTAACTCTTCCTGATATTAAGTATGTGTCCTTTTTGTTTCTGTTTTTTCTAGAACTTAGTCATTGCTCATGTTTGGTCCATGGTAAAATTGAAGTGAGAAAATGACTGAAATAGAACAATTATTACTTATATGCATCCACTTCTTCTGTGCCATGTCTTTTCAGGATTTTGGTGATCATGGCTCTCCACAATTTCCTGTCCTTTCTAGATCTTTATAATTTTTGTCTTTTTGTTGTCTCTCCTAAACCTTGTTCTGACATCCATTTACTCAAGCTCACTCAATAGGTTATGTATTGTTTTTCCTCTATCCCTATTGCTTTTAATCTGTCTTGTGAGTATCAAATTTTTCAAGCCCTCTTTCCTCATTATGCGCCCTAAAAATTTTAACTGTCTTTTCCTGATGTCAAGTATAAGTGTCCTTTTTGTTGCTATTGTCTCTAGGACTTTATCACTACTCACATGTTCAGTCCATCCTTCTGTAGAACTACATTTCTGTTGCTTCAAGTTCATCTGAAATTGTCCAGCATTCACTGATATATAGAAGGGCTGATATTACATAAATCAATAGTTCAGTACTCTTTTCTTTGAAAGTTAAAATGCCGTAAAAATCTCTGCTCAAAGATGAACACTGCACCATGATATTTTCTTATAAGAGTCAAAGCATCTTTTTTAAAATTACATATCATTAGAAATAGTATTTTTGTTGACATCTATGGTGTTTTGTTTATTTGCTGTCGTCTTTTTTCAATAGGTCATTGCTTACAAAAACTGCTTGTACAGTTCTAAACACAGACTTTTTTATGAAACTAGAAAAGGTAAAGTAAAAAAAAAAAAAAAGAAAAAAAGTTAAACATTCTTTGTCCAAGACCTGTAATCAAACATTTATTAATGAAGGAATGCTGCCTAAAAACATCTTTTAAGTTTTATCATTGTGCATATATTGTATTTGATGTTATATTTAAAACCTCCCTTTTCTATGTAAAAATGACTGGTGGTTAAAAATATTTTCATTGGCTCATATAGGAAGTTAATGTTTACCTAGACATGATAAATGACTAGTACTTGTACCTATCCTAACTTTAATACAGTAATATTAAACACGAATGCAGGAGTGTGCTTTGTATTCTCTAAAATATGGTGAGGGAGGATTTATTCAGGAAGAGTTTAAATGAAAAAAAAAAAAAAAAAAAAAAAAAAAAAAAATGCAAGAAAGAGAAGAGAAAAAAATAAAGTTATTTTTTTTTTTTGCATTTTATTTTTTTCTTAAACTCCAGTAAATTTCATTTTTCCTGAGGGGAAGGGAACACTAGGTTCGATTTCTTCAACAGGCAGTAAAAAAGTATACAAAATATAGATTTAAAATTTTGTCCCCCAATCATTAATGGTATAGCATTGCTGTCTGGTGATTAAAACATTTTTAACCTATATCCTACTGGTGTCAGTTTAAACTGCCTCCCGACAACCATTGGAAAAAATAATTATGAACTAATAAGAACATATATACAACACACTATGTTAAATATCTGTGTACACGTCTTACATAAAAATTAGATGATCAAGTTTTTGTTTTTTTTTTAATTTAATTAACATGTAGGTGCATATAGTTTAAAAATATAAAAATTCAGTTGTCCCTACAAACATTGTCAGTGTTTAATATTGAATTTTAGTTTTCAAATTTTTGGCATTGTAAACAGCGATTCAAAGGTAAGATACTATCATAGTTTAGACCAAAACAATGCCAACTAGTCATTGATATGCATTTGCTTCTATGACCTGGCAAGCAGCCTTCAGGAAACCAGAGTTTAGTTGGGTGGGTATGGTTGCAAAGCTGAAACAAACTGATGGAAGGGCACCATCAGAAGTGGAGTTTGTGGCTTAATTCAACTCAACATAGACCAGTTTAGACACCAATAAGATTGCAATTATAACAATTTGCATTAATAACATGTCCGGATTCATTTTTCAATAGAAAAAAAAATAAATAAATAAAATTCTATATTAAACACAGACAAAGACTGTAAGAACAATCTCTCAATTTTTTTTTTTTTTTTAACTTTGTGCTCCTACATGTCAACTAAATAAAAAAAAAAGACTTCTTTTTTAATCCAATTTTTATATATTAATCTCCTATTAGTCAAAATAAGAAACCATGAAAAAAAAAAAAAAAAAAAGGTTCTTATTCAACCAAACAGCTCTTTTCAAAAGTTGAAAAAAGAAAAAGAAAAAAAAAAAAAACCTATAAGAATGACAAACTCCAAAGTGATGAGATTTAGAACACTCACCTGCAATAGCTCCAGGCTAACCCTGCCTTCTCAGAAGGGAAAGGGAGAAGCCTTGCCAGGGGGTATACAGGATTGGCGGGATGGGAAGAAAAGTGAGAGAAAACATGAGCCATGCAACTTGCCTTCATGGTCCGGACCTTGAGCGGCCATTTGATGGTCAAGTCACAGGCATGAGTTGTCCGTGGAGACAGATAGGAGAGACAAGTGCCCATCTTTTGTTGTACGAGGATGGCAAATGAGTGAAAAAGAAGAAGAGAGAAAGAAGGGGAAAAAAAAAGAAAAAGAGACTTTGCCAGAAGAAAGGAAGAAGAACTTGCTGGTAACTTGAATTTTTTTTTTTTTCTTTTCTTTCTCTCTTCACTTTTTTGATCAATTTGAATATTCAGAAACTGTTAAGACTGAGATCAATCTTAACCTTTTATCGGTTTTTTTTTTTTTTTTTTTTCCTTCCTCTTTGAAACTTTCTTCAATAGCTGAAAATGAACAACAGTACTTTACAAAAGTTCCAAAGCAAATGTGACTCTCAAAAGGAACCGGTTAAATTTATGCAACCAAGAAAATTGTTTTGGCACAACTTTTTAGTAGGGGGTGGAGAGGGTGAATTTAGGAAATTCATACAGTTGTTTGTCTTATAGAGACCATGTATTAGTGTCTGTCAACTTCACCACAGACCTGGAAGGTACACAGTAAGTGTATAGATGGGAGTCATTGCCATGTAAGTGAGAAGGAAAAGAGGGGATTGCAAAAAAATGGAAAAGTGGAAAACACCAGGATATAAACTTGTCTAAAGTGGACACAGTCTAAAGCAAAAAAAAAAAAAATAAATAAAATAAAATAAAAAAAAATAAAAAAAAAAAAAAAAAAAAAAAAAAAATGGAATAAAAAAAATTTTAAAAAATTTAAAAAATAACAAAAAACAATCCCATCTGTCTTTTTCCAGTTGTTGTAGGTAAGAGTGTGGGATAACTTTGGCAAAATGACACTCCGACTTCCCCACTTCCTTTTGGTCAATTCTTGGATAGGTGCCTGAGAAACATATTTACCAAATTATCACCACAATATTGAGAAAGGAAAACAAACAAAGAAAAATGAAAAAAAAAAAAAAAAAAAAAAAAAATAAAAAAAAGAAAAACTACCAGCAGCCATTTTGAAAACATTGAAGGAAGTAAACAGTTGGAAATTTACAAAAAAGAAAAATGTCTTTGAAAACTTCCAGTTTTAGTGATAATCAAAACAAATTTCAAAAGTGACATTTCTATACAACAAAATATGATCTGGTTCCTATTTTGAAACCCAGTCACCAGGTGTGCGCAGATTATATAGACTCTACACTGGAACAATTACATCTTTAAATATTATTTAAATTGTTTCCTTCAATTATTTAACTAATTTCCTCATCTTTGTTGTTGTTATCCTATAGTTTCGTTTCTTGTGCCCCCCCTAGTTTTTTTGGGAGGTGTTTGGTAACCTTCAAGGAATTTCAAACTGATTACTTCACTTTACATTAGTCCTTGCACTTGTCTCCCTTAGATATTGAAGGTATCTAGGTTCAAATGCTTTTGCATAATTGTCTCAAAAGGTCTTACATGGTACCTCAACAACTTCAAGACTGTTTTTCATCTTGTCTTTGTAACTGAGCCATGGACTGCTGGCATTTCTTTTACTGCTGTGTAGCTGTCTGCACAGGACTTTTGGCCATATATGACAATACTATGCTTTATAATATTGTTATTTTTCTGGGTTTTTTTTCAAATTCTTGACAATATTAGCCTCTTCTTCAAGCAAAACAGAAAAAGTCTGACAACTTGACCAGTTTGTTATATAACTAGAGAGATATACAAGACTGACCATTCAGGAGAAAGTTTGAAATGTTTTCATTCTCCAAGATAAAATTTCTGTAAAAATTTCTGTAAAAATTTGGCACCAAACTGTTACCACAAATTGTGCTTCTTGTCATCAAGAAAAGAAAACTGAATACGTCCTTTTCTCCACTTTTATAGGCTTCCATATCTTAAAAGTATTCAGTAGTTTTGAAAATAAATAGTAAAGGCACTCTTCAGACAAAATTTCACTAAGTAAGACTTGTAACAAACTTTCAAGCCTTAAATACTTTTTGTTTTAGCAGCATATCAACTACTTGTTTAATGCCAAAATTTAATTTTGTTGGGAGCATTAGTAATTTCTTTTATTGCTCATAATTTCTTTTTAACTATGAAAATGTATTGCTGGTATTTTTACTATAAAAATCTATTTTTATGTTGTAGAGTAGTTTTCACAGTGGAGGCTTGTATTTTCGCTAAGTTGGTCCTAAAAAGGGTCCGACGTACAAAACGTTAGGAACTTGAAATAAGAGTTAATGACGCAGCAATCTAGTTGTGATGGTTGATACTTCAATGTCCGACATCGACTGACTCACTGAACACCACTGAGCCCAACTGTCGGCCGCTACTACTACTACTTATGTGTGGGAGAGTCTATTAATAGAATAGGTACGTTTAGGTATGACATTTTATACTTTCATTATGTTTTGACCCCAATTTAGGGGTTCACTATTTACCCATAGCTGAGACCCTAACAAATGTTACCACCCCACGTCAGGGTGAACCTGGGAAAAACAGCAATGAAAAGATGGTTCCATGCTCCTCAAAAACACCTTATCAGAGGCCTTGCTGCTGGATGTAGTTTATCAACATGCCCAGGAGAAGAGTTTTGAATGTATCAAACATTCAGGATGTAGAGTTAGTAAGTACTAAACAAGGCGAATACCTTGGTGTATGGATCGGTTATAGCAAATTAAGTATATGAGATAAGGAAAATGAACATAGATTAGGCTGCACTAGAGTTGCTTTCACCTATTACCTCAAATTACAACAAAGCCAAAACATTAACCTAAAAACTCATGTTCATAAATAGCCTTATCAGATCAAGATTTTCATATGAATGGCACCAAACCCATTGAGAAATATCTAAACCAGAGATTTCCTACTTTTTTTTTTTTTGGCCATGCCCCACCGAAACATCTTTAAAATCCTGAAGACATCCCCTACCCCATGACAATTCTCATTCAAAAAGTGAAATCCTATTCACATGGAGGAAGCCTAACTTTCCTTAAGAACTTGAGACTACATATATGCAATAGTATTATCATTTAATTTTAGAATTTTACAATATTTATAAAACCTTTGTATATATATATATATATATATATTTATAAAACCTTTGTGTTATATATATATATATATATATATTTAAAAATTTTGTTTTATATATATATATATATATATTTTATAAAACTTTTTGTGTTTATATATATATATATATATATTTATAAAACCTTTGTGTTTTATATATATATATATATATATATTTATAAAACTTTGTGTTTTTATATATATATATATATATATATATATATATATATATTTATAAAACCTTTGTATATATATATATATTTTTATATATATATATATATATATATATTTATAAAACCTTTGTGTTTTATATATATATATATATATATATTTATAAAACCTTTGTGTTTTATATATATATATATATATATTTATAAAACCTTTGTTTTTATATATATATATATATATATATATATATATATATATATATATTTATAAAACCTTTGTGTGTTATATATATATATTTATAAAACCTTTGTGTGTTATATATATATATTTATAAAACCTTTGTGTTTTATATATATATATATATATATATATATATATATATATATAGCAGTATAACGATCTTTTGACCGGTCTTTCATTACTTTGGGAATTTTTTTCCGCTTAATTGGAGCAGTTTAAAGTCATCCCACCTAAAAAATCAATATTAATAACATTATTTGGGTGCAACTGAGGCACACCTCCAAATGGTGGGGTTAACAATTTGAATGGGGGGGGGCTGATAAGGGAACTGTATAATAATAAATAATATTATTGAATAATTTAAACTATTTATTTTTATCTGTCTATATTTTTGAGATGAGGTATTATGTACATTATTTACATTATTTGGACAATTGTCCTCATTTTTGTTGCCATATTTATTACAATTTTTCGGCCATTGTATGCTCCGGCCTTCTTCAGGCGGTTGGAATGTTGTACTGAACCCTCAAGGACATGTGGCACAGTGGATAAAGGCGTTGGTTAGATCCAGTGACAAGACCCAAAGTGTGTGAGTTCAATACCCAGTTAAGGCAGTGGAGAACTATCAGAGGGAAAAATCAACAGGAGATAACCGACATCCATTAAACATGGCACGTGGAACTAGAACAGTCTACCTCAGTGAACGAAATAAAGGGTTCAGTTTCAAAATCAGATGAAAACTGGAAATGCATAAACAACATCTGATCACACACCCATACATACACAAACACATTTTGGAAATTATAGATATAATGAAGGGATGGCTCTAGTTGTAACCTGAGTTTCACACAATCTTCAGGCTGCTTGAAGATCTCATGAGTGAAACTCAACTAGAGCTATCCTTTCATAGGATTTAACACTGTTAGTCATTTTTTGCTCAGTCTAGGCTTTGAAAACTTTACTGAATAAGTAATTTTGCCTTTAGGCTTTTTTTTTTTTTTTTTTTTTTTCAGTACTGTCATTTTTATTTGAGACTGTATCTGGATAAGAGTTTTAGGTTTTGGCAAGTTGTCCATTGGTCCTATTAACAGCTTTTGTTTTATTTTATTATATTATATACAATACATATGTAATTACACATGAACACACATACACACAAATATTTTTAAGTATGCATACTGTATATGCACTGCATGTATTAAGTCGTACACACTCGGACTCACTAAAAAAAAAAAAAAAATTTCACTGTTAATAACTGATTGTCAAATTGTCCACCCTCCACAACCTAAAAATCAAAGTGTGCTCCACATTGGGAAACACAGATCTAAACTGTCAGTTGTATGCATTCACTTTCTCTGACCAATGATTAAAAATGGTTTTACTTAGCAAAGAACCTTTCTTCAACCCTTGCTGACTGGTACTACAGAATCACAAAGAACTGCACCAAACAACATAAACCACAATGCTTAAGGACTGCAACATCTAAAATGGATAGCACATAACTCTAAGAAAATAATAACAATCAAGATATTAACATTCTAAACTATTTCAAACAAAATGCTTAGGAAGAATAGAGCAATTAATAGGTGGACTTGTGCAACCTTTATTTTCTTAAAAAACATTTAAGAGATTTTATAAAATCAACTGACGGTAACACTAGCTGCTCGGTCAATGAATGCCAAATATTTCCTTATAATGTAACAGCTAATATAGGGTATTCCAATAACTTGGACGGATTTTAAACTTAATTCATATTTAAAATCAGTCCTCCAAAGTTATCGGAACATCCTTTGCCATCTCCTCACTGAAGTCAGTCCAATAGTTGCAGAGTATTTCAAAAGGTATCATTTATAACATCCTATTCCAATGTCGATAAGAATATAAAGGGGGGGGTGGAAGCAGGCATCCACTTAAAGTCACATTCAAGAAACATTAACCAACAAATTTTAATTTTCATGCCCCACCCCCACAAAAAAAAAAAAAAAAAATCTATGTCAAAAGGATGGTTGACTCTCTCAACAATGTTTATTTACAAGATAAATATATGTGAACCAAGAAACATGTGATATTTATCATTTACTATTTCATAAATAAATATGAAAAGAAATCTTTTTATTCAAAAACATCTAAAAAAAAAAAAAAAAAAAAAAAAAAAAAATTATCAAAATATGTAAACAACCTACAATGCAAGATTTATTTACCATTTTATAAATAACTATGAAAACAAGTATTTTTATTTATCACTTTATAAAGATATCAAAGAATTACTACAGGAAAGAACTGCCCAGAAAATGCATTTTTTCAAAATTTATAATTAATTACTTGTCATTATCTGTTAATTTAAATTTTTGTGTTTGACACATTTTTTTTATAAATTTATGAATATAAAAAATTATTTTCATATTTATTTTTTTATAAACTGATGAAATCAACATTGTATCAGTTGGTTTGCATTTTTAGAATGTTGTAAATATAAAATTATTCTTGTAAATAAACAATCTAATAAAGTGTTTAATATTTTGGTTGTAAATTCTCAAAGAACTTAGAAAATGTATAAATTCACTTTCATATGTTTGGGATTCATTAAAATGGTAATAATCACTTTTTAAAACAACAACCTTTGCCAAGGGAATGAAGGTAGTTAAAATAATAGCAGTGTCAAGAGAAAAAAAAATCCTTTTGAAACACAATTTTATTGCCGGTGCAGACGTTAAAAATAGCCCATAAATACATTTTCAAAAGAGAAGGGCCTATGATATGCTCCATGAGATAAGGTCTATGTAATTGACAGAGAACACTATTGAAAAGTGAGAAAATCGGAAGAAACAGCAGACATTGATTTGTTTGTGCGTATGTCAGGCCAGAAGACTTGTTGCACATGGATAGACACTCTCCTGGTGTGTTACTCCCTTAGAAGGGAGATACCATTCAGTTAGCTTGTGTGATGTGTCACAATGACATTCACAGACATTGGTTTGTGTAAAAAAAAAAAAAAAAAAAAAAAAAAAAAAATCAGGCTCAGATGAGAATTCGGAGAAAAATACCTTTTCTTGTCTAAATTAGAATCACCTGTGTTGCATTACATGGGTGCTGATGTAGATTATCTGAAATTGGCCAAGAAAAAAAGAAAATGATCTTGTGTTATAGTAGCTATCATTTTCTATCAGGGAATGGAAGAAGCTTGATTTTTTCCTCATAAATTCTACATCTGTAAGTAAATGTAAATGAGATCTGACAAAATGTATGGACAACCTCATTAATACAAAAGCATAGTAGATTCCATTTAAAATGGACACTGGTTAGACAAAATAGTAAACATTATCTGTCTATATTTCTGAGATGAGGTATTATGTACACTATTTATATTATTCAGACTATTGTCCTCATCTTGGTTGCCATATTTATTACGTTTCAGCCATTGTACACTCCAGCCTTCTTCAGGTGATTGCAATTTCAAACTGAACTCTTTATTTCTATATTTTTGCTACCGTAACATGGTAATAAATGTGGCGACCAAGATGAGGACAATAGTCCAAATAATGTAAATAGTGAAAAATAGTAAACACTTCTTGCACAAGCTATAAATCTACCATTTGTCCATGCATCGAATTCTGCTGCCATATCTGGCCTGATGTTCCTGCTACAGATCTCAAGATTCTTGACAAAATCCAAAAAACATCCTGACCTGGCATCTTAAATTCAGTGACTTTCTCATTGGTATGATGTGGCTTCCATCTGACTTTCCTACAAATAGTTTCATAGTAACTGCTCGGATAAGCTTTTACATTAATGCCTCAGATGCATGAATTTAAGCGAGCTACTAGATTGGCAACTAGGTCTCAATGTTTTACTGTTCAATTAGCTAGATGCTACTTCTATTCTAACAGTTTCTTTTCTCACACTTCTCATTTGTGGAGCTCCCTTTTGATTTCTTGCTTCCCTGACAACTACAATCCTCAAAAATTTAAATTCAACTTCAATCACCATCTTCTCTCTTCATGAACCCTGTTCTTTTGTCTTTTCATCACTCCTTTTCACTAAAGTCTTCACATTCTTTTTCACTTCCTGTAATTGTCTGCATCTTAGTGGCATTATCACCTTTCTTGGAATGAAACGATGGAAAAAAAAAAAAATTTGAGCAAGAACAAACTCAATTTTTGAAAACTGTTTATAATGATCAAACTTTGTTGCATGCAAATGTCCCACATAAGTGGAATTCGTTAGAGTTCAATTGTCTGAACAAAGCTTCAGTTGTGTGGAGGGGGAGGGTAAAAACAAGAGAGACATGAAATAGTAAATAACTCTTTGATACTGCAAGTTTACTGCACCAATAAATTTTGAGCTTTGAATAACTAATCTCAAAATTATCAATTTTATTTATTCCAAAAAAAGAAAAAACAAATGAAAACACCCTTGTATTTTATATAAAAATTTATATGAATCTTGTTTAGATGGCTTGGAGCATGTTATAGTAGAGGGTGTATCTTTCCGTATGCTGATGTTGCACCAGAACATGACAACAGAACGGCAACACCATAGAAAAATTGCTCACCTCCCCTACTCGGCAATCCACCTTTTGGTAACACCTCAAGCACCATACAATAAACCCAGTCCCTTCCTGAAGAAGAGGGTACTGAGGCTACGAACCCCTGGGGCTTGAGCCTAATATTACTTTCAATCTCCCTTGATTGAACTAAACTTGAAAACAAGGAAAGTAGACATAATAGAGGGAATGTGTAAAATTCACCCACAAGATGAATATGAAACAAGGTACAAATGAACACAGGGAGGGGGGAGAATAAAAAAAAAAAAGAAAAAAAAAGGAAACAGAAGTGATTCACTGCAAGGACAAACTTTAAATGTACTTGAAAAAAGTGTTTTTTAGGAGGGTGGAGGTAAATTTATTTGTATCATACAGATTCAATTTCTATATTTTTGTCTATATTTCCGAGATGAATTATTGCAATTATTTTCACTATCTACTTTGTTCAGAGTGTTGTCCTTATCTTCATTGCCGTCATATGCTCCGGCCTTTTTCAGGTGATTACAATTTCAAACTGAACTCTTTATTTCTATATTTTTGCTATCATAACACAGGAAAGAAAATAAAAGTTGGTATATCTTAGCAAATTTCCATGAGCTTAATATCATTAGCTGTTGGTTTCACAGTTATTTTTTTATGTCTGTCTAAAGGTGATAACTAAAAATATTAACTGTCAAGTACAGAGTTATCTCCCTTTCAAGAAAATTTTCTATTGACTTGATATTGAACAGAAACCACTAAACGCAGTACTGAAGTTCCAACAATTTTATGAATGTTACATTTTTGGATGATTTGTTTTTGTTTAGCACACACACACAGATAGGAATTGCTGGTATAATTTTATAAACCTATTTCATATAGAAACTTTAAAAAAATCTTTAAACTAATATTGGTAGCAGTACATCCTAGCCATAAATGTACTACTAGAATAATAATGAGAAAGCAGTTACACAAAAGGTAATAATAATAATAATTTATAATTATAAGTCTTCTAGACTGACGGAATTTTGGGCACAATACAAAAAGGGGGTATGAGAGGAGTGGTAAGTAATTGACCAAATCTAAAAACAAAAGAACAAGCAAAACCTTAGCAAACTAGTTGCGCATATCAAGAAAGAAAAGAAGTGTTTATAGAGTGCCCAATCGCAGGTAAGATCAAGAGTTGGCAGGGGAAGTGGAAGATATTAACGCACATAAACAGTGTAATTATTTTCCTTTCTTATTGTGAGAAATATTTGAGAGGTAAAACAAAAGGAAAATAAATGAAATCATATAATATTTCTTATGAAGGCTTTTACAAGCACAAGCACAACACCAATACACAAGGATTAGAAGAAAAAAAAAAAAAAAAAAAAGACGGGGGGGGATGACAAAAAATGAAAAAGAAGAAAATTAAAAATTGCTTGAGTTCTTAATATTGTCATAAAAGTTTTTTTTTTTATAGGCAAACAGTTAAGTGACAACAAAAGGTCACAGCTGTGTAGACACATCAAAGCAAAAACTTGCAAACAATGATTTACAAGATCACTTTGCTAACCTGGTCTTTTCGGGTCATCATCTCTAAGATTTTTGATGACATTTAAAAACCAAATTGTACTGAAAGCAATTAACATCCAAATGGATTGATCTGGGATTATCTGATTACCAAGTCATACTCCTCGCTTTGGGATTTATCGTCCAATTCAACTGAACAGGAGTGGAGATTTGTCCCTGGTTTCTTCTAAAATCTTTTTCAACTGTATACTTCGAAGTCTCAGCCCCAAATTCTGAAATTTGATCTACTATTTAATTACATGGCCCTCAATAGGTTTGCCTATAGTCCATTTCACTCTCTACCCTGGTCTTTTTGACAGAGAAGAGGTTTATCTCTTGTTTCCTGTTAGGATCAGTTTTTCAATTCCTTCTAAAGTCTTCTTATAATCATTGAAATATCCTTGCCAGGTGTGGTGCCTTTTACTCTGTGAGAGAGAGAGAGAAAGAGGAGAGAAGAGAGAGAGAGAGAGAGAGGAGAGAGAGAGAGGAGAAAGAGAGGAGAAAGAGAGAGGAGATAGAGAGAGAGAGAGAGAGAGAGAGAGAGAGAGAGAGAGAGAGAGAGAGAGAGAGAGAGAGGAGAGGAGAGAAAGAGAGAGAGAGAGAGAGAAAGAGGAGAGAGAGAGAGAGAGGAGAGAGAGAGAGAGAGAGAGAGAGGGGAGGAGAGAGGAGAGAGAGAGAGAGAGGAGATAGAGAGAGAGAGGAGAGAGAGAAGAGAGAGAGAGGGGAGAGAAGAGGAGAGAGAGGGGAGAGAGGGAGAGAGAGAGAGAGGAGAGAGAGAGAGAGAGGGAGAGAGAGAGAGAGAGAGGAGGAGAGAGAGAGAGAGAGAGAGAGAGAGAGAGAGAAAGAGGAGAGAGAGAGAAAGAGAGAAAGAGGAGAGAGAGAGAAAGAGGAGAGAGAGAGAGAAAGAGGAGAGAGAGAGAGAGAAAGAGGAGAGAAAAAAAGAAATCTTTAATAGCTGTTTCAGTGAAATGGAACAGTTGTTAATTTCAAATCTTTTCATTTGTACCCCCTTACTTCTTATAATAGCAACCAGCATTCATATTTATCATTGTTATTGCAATATTTCGTTAAAGTTGTCAAGCTCAAATATTTAAAGATAAGAAAAGGAAATTTCTACGGGTATTTTATTGTCGCCATGAATTTATTCAATCACTAACTTAAGAAATAAGTATGGACAGAAAATTCAAATAGGAAAACCGTGAAATTCTCATGGGTCTTTCTAGTAAAGGAAGCCATAATTGCATTTATCCCACCAACCAATTTTGTATTTCTTTTATTTATTTATTGCCATGTCCTCCCTTCAGAATGTAAGCAAACATGGCTCTCCTCGTTCTTCATTAGTTGTGAAATGACATTATTTGTTGGGAAAGATTATGAAGTGGTTCCTCCATGGTTTTGAATTCACTGTAGACTTTCTCCTAGATCCACAGCCACTCAAGGCTAGAGAGCCTGGTTTACCCTACCATGGCTAGGGGTGGGTGCAAAGGAGATGCATACATACTTTTCCCCAAGGGTATTTGTGCAGTGTGAATACAAAGGACAAGGTGGGAATTCAAATTCTACTTACCCATTTCAGAGCTATTAGCTTGATTGATTCATTTTATTTTACCAACCCACCACAGGTTATTTAAAACTATAAAATATTTTCATTTTTGTAAAATTTTTCTTGAGTGGGGGGGATAATAATGGTTTAGTGATACAAGTCATACTAATTAACCCACAGCTGGGGGGAGAAGAGGTCAATTCATACCTTTCCCAAGGGTATTTGGAGCATGTGAATACAATAAACCAATGGGAATTGGATCTCAACTCTCCAATTAGCAATTCTGAGCCGTTATCCACTACACCACCTGCACATCCTAATGGTAATATTGTACTTCGTATCATAATAATTACAAAAAGAAGAGGAAGTAATTTATTTTTTCACAGTTTATCAACCCTTTGCAGGTTATATAAAGCCAGAAAATATTTTTAGATTGTGAGAATTTTTTTGGAGATAATAATGATTTTAGTGATACAAATCTTACTAATTAACCCATAGCTGGAGGGAGAAGAGGTGGATTCATACCTTTCCCAAAAGGTATTTGTGCGTAAGTGAATATAATGAATCCAACTAGAACTGGAACTCTGATCTCGGATTAATTTCAAGCTACTATCCATTATGCCAGGTGCATATCCAAGTTTACAGCACCTGGTATTCCTAAGCAGTTACCCATCTAAGTACTGATCAAGTTTGACATTGCTTAACTTCAGTAATCGCACAGGAATTGGTGTTTGAACACAATGTGGCTGTAAGCCTCTCAGAGTTATTGATGCAGAAAGCTTGTGCTGATGGAGTGTCAAAGGGTGCAATTTGAGTTGAGGAATTGACACATGTCTGCTTGGAAACTTCCCATCAGCAACCCATTATTTTTTCTTGATAGCAATCTGGCAAAAGGATATCTGACATGAATGTGTATAACCAGTGGCAGCAAAAGAGCTAATGGTGGTAGTGATGTAGAAAAAATGTTTTGGGGCTGGAAACTCTCCAATGGTGTTCTTGTTTTCCATGAATACAAGGAAATAAATAAGGAGGCATTATTTTCAGAGCTTTCCTCAAATACTCTGGTATTGAAGCCTTCTGTCAGAGTTTGCACACACCATAACCATGTCTAAATAGCAACAACTCAGCTTAAATTCTGTCACAAAGACTCACACAGAATCCACTGACCTTGGGAGTTACCAGGGGTCATTAAAGAGTAGGGCCATTATTTCTTGCCAAATTAAACAATTTTGTATGTCCATTCCAAATTTCACTTTGAATTCAAGCACAGTGGAAGAAACACTAATGTTGCGTATCCAGAACCCCTCTCAATCTCAGGGATAACATTTGTTTTGGGGCATCAGTATATTTTTTTCTGGAACAGATACTTTTACATGTGTGTGTATAAATATTCATTACACAAAAAGAAAAAAAAAGATCAAATTCTCTCAAAAATATTTGTTTTTAAATTCAGAAAATACTCTAGTGGAAATAAAAAAAAAAAAGTCCCTATCTCTGACCTGAGCTAAAGTTACTCCCTTGGCAATTCTTTGACTAGAAACTTATAAACTCATTGAATTGGAATAGTAGAAGTCAGGTGTATTCATTTGGAAACACAAATATCTCCTCTAATCAGTTGTAGTAACATCAGTGTCTTTAAAAAGAAAAAAAAAATGTTTTACTGTTTCTGAAGATCGGCTTTGGTTTGGTTTGTTTTACGGCATATCAGCCTCACTGGGTCATTTAATACCGACAATTTTTTTTTTTTTTTCCAGGTAATATTTTTGTTTTGTCAAAAATCTATTTCTGTTAAAATTTTTTTTTCCTCAAAAATGTATAGCTGGTAATATTTTTTCAAAAACATATAGCTGGTAATATTATTTTTACAAATTATTTCTGGTATTAAAACCTACTTTTACACTTTTATAATGCTTTTTACCTCAGTTTCGGGGTTAACTATTTGCCCATAGCTGGGACCCCTAACAGGTACTACCACCCTGGGTCAGGGTAGACCTGGGAACATCAGCAATTAAGAGGTGGTTCCATGCTCCTCAAAACCTCCTGATCAGAGGCCTTGCTGTTGGATGTAATTTATCGTCTTACTCTGGACATGGATGTAGTTTATAGTCATACCCAGGACGCCTGAAGACCAGGAAAAATAAACAATAATAAAACATTTAAGAACAGACACCATGTGACTTTTTCAGTTTATTTTAATACGAATAAATAAAGTAAAAATACTAAAATAATTTATTAAAAAAGAAAAAAAAGAAAAAAAAGAAAAAAGCATTCTGCATGAAGAGAAAAAAAAATGTGGACAAAAGAGAAAATAAAAAAAATAAAAATTATTGATGTGGAAGATTTTCCACTTTCTATCCAGGATGTGTGGATGGTGTAACAGATAGTGGCTAGGAATGAGTAACTATGAAAAAGGTATGAATCCATCCCCCTCATAGTAGGACTTGTATTGGGAACAACCAAAACAAAAAAAATTAATATACACAAAAAAAATTATTCTTACAATCCAAAATAGATTTCTGCTTTAAATAATCCACATTATCAGTTGAAAAAAAAACAAAACAAATCACCAAATTTCCAACCATTCTTCTTAATAAGTTTTCAGTGGTTTTGTCAAAAAAAAAAAAAAAAAAAAAATGCATGGTGGGGGGGCCTCTTCAAGTTTTTTATTGCCAAAAATTCTTCACAGAAGATCGGGATGAATCAGCTGTTGTACAACGCAACCGGACATAATTTAAGATAAGGCCATGAATTTACAATGTTCATAGGATTATTATAACTAGGAAACTATGTGCATATTACTTAAACTAGCAGATGTCCAAATGGACTTGCCTTAGGAAATTGGCATTAGAAATCATGTTTTGTAATGTCAGTGAACACTTGTTGCCACTTTTGTAATGCTTGTTGTCACTAGAGACTTTGTAATCGCAGATACAACTATAGTAATGTCATTGAACAATCCTGGTGTCAGACACCTTCGAATAACACTAATAGTACTTGCTTGATGATACTCGCTCGAAAAGTTACCACCGAATAGTGATCAGAATAGTAATCCATATAGTGATCACTTAGACACCACACTAATTCCCATATATATATATATATATATATATATATATATATATATATATATATATATATATATTTATTTATTTACTTTACCATCACGTGATCTACTTATACAAAATGGAATCGCCTTTGTTTGCTCTCTGGTGATCTGGGTTCAAACTCCAGTGTTGGCAGTGACACTGACACTTTATTCCTATATAATATCATGGCTTTTGTGCAGACAAGAATACCCAACAATTGCAGACCCCATCACCTCACCAAGCAAAAGAAAAAATTGATAAAAAAAAAAAAAACAACCTTTTCACAGAATTTCATTGATTATTTTTAAAACAAACATCGAGTAGTAATTTTGATAATGCAAACAGAAAATTCCAATTTAAAAATCAAAATTAAAATAAAATGAAATGAGGGAAAGAAAATGTCAACATCATCCTTTGCCATCAAAACAAACAAAAAGAGTAAGATGGAAGAAACGAAACCAGAATATAGAATAAATAAAAAAGGGGTTCATGGGTATTGGGTAAAGTGAAACAAATCAATGGCTTTGATCATGTTCTCCCCACAACCTGGCCAGCAAGATGACTGCAAATAATCAATATCCATTGAGCTGCTACGGTAAAAAAGCAAGAAAAATAAAGTTGATGACAAGCAGGTCGAGAGGATAGAGAGGCAAAAAACAGTCCCAAGAAAATAGTGATCTTTGAAAGTGTAC